CCCCCCCCCCCCCCCCCCCCCCCCCCGTGGCTACATGATTGAGTGGGAGAGTCGCGGCTGTCAAAATAGGACAGTTCACTGGAGAAGACCTTGGGGACAGGCAGGTATTGTCTTCTAGTGGGGGCCTCCATGACGGAGGTTGCGTTACCGCATCCTAAGTGTTTTGGACCTATGGCAACGCCAGCCCCGGGGGCAGGTGCCGAAGGATGGATCTGGGTTTTCCCGACCCGGCCGCTTGGAAGCTTTATGCACTAGAGAAAGTCACTGAACCCCACCCGCCGAGCCTGTTTCCCTCCTCTGTGAAATGGTGCCAGGTGAACGTGTGTCCTGGGCACACGGCTACTCTTCATCGAGCGTTTGCAGGGCCACCTTCCTCTCATTACCCAGCCTCCTGTCCGACCGCTACCTCCTGGTTCCCCCTCCCTGCCCGCCTTGCCCTGAGCCTTGGATGACAATCAGTGTGCATATTCTGGTCTGCTCTGGTTTTGCGTTTCTGTTTTCATTTGCATTTCCCTGTATCCGTGGAGTTCACAAACACATTGGACGTGGCTTTTTCTCAGGGTTGTTAATTCTTCCGTAAGAATGCTATGGATGGGCTTCTAGGGGTCTGTGAGTGCTCAGAAACGGTGTGTATTTTATATATATACACATATATATATTGTGTGTGTGTGAAGAGCATAAGCTTGCCGAAGAGGCCCATGACCTCAAAAAAAGATCAAATGAAAAACTGCATTATTGTATCCCGTGGTGCTTATACTATAAGTTTACTCCGTCTCCTAAGTAGTAAGCAGCGTCTTGACTATTTTAGATTGTGCCTGCTGTGAGCATCTCTGTGAATGTGGTGTGTGCGTGGCGTTGCCTGCTCGGTGAGTATGCAGTTTCACAGACTCAGATACTCTCCGGAAAGCTTACACTTCCTCTTGTGAGTATATCCATTTCCCTGCGTAGTTGGTGACATCAGATATTTTCAATTTTTCTTATTACAACTTTTTTCTTAGTTGTGGTAAAATGCACACAACATAAAATTTATCATCTTAATCATTTTTAAGTGTACATTTCAGTAGCGTGATATATTGTCGTGCAACCAATCTCCAGGGCGTTTTCATCTGGCAAAACTGAAACTCTGTACCTGCTAAACTCCCCATTCCCTTCTCCCTCCCTCCCCTGGCAACCACCCTTCTCTGTTTCTGGGAGTTTGGCCTTTCTAGGTACCTCATGTTAAACAGAATCATACGGTACTTGCCTTTGGTGACTGGCTTATTTTACTTGGCGTAATATCCTCAAGGTTCATCTGTGTTATATGTGTCAAAATTCTCTTCCTTTTTAGAAGGGCTGAAATGGGCACCTGGTTGGCTCAGTCATTGGAGTGTGCAGCTTTTGATCTGAGGTCTATGAGCTTGAGCCCCATGTTGGGTGTGGAGTTTACTTTAAAAAAATAAAAGAGCCGGAATGTTCCATCAGATGTATGCATTTTGTTTACCACATTTTGTTTACCACTTCTCAATTAATACCTGGGTTGCATCCACCTTTTGGTTGTTGTGAACGATGCTGCTGGGGACATGGGTGTGCAAATACCTTTTGAAACCCTGCTTTTATTTCTTTTGGAGATACACCCACAAGTGGGATCGCTGGATCATATGGTAATTCTACTTTTAATTTTTTGAAGAACCTCCATACTGTTTTCCACAGTGGTTGCACCAGTTTGCATTCCCACCAGTCTGCAAGAATCCCAGTTTTCCACATGGTCCCCAATACTTGCTATTTTCTGTTGTTTTATATAGCAGCCATTCTATTGGGTGTGAGGTGATGTTTCGTTGTGGTTTTGATTTGCATTTGCCTAATAATTAGTAATGTTGAGCATCTTTTCATAAGATTCTTGGCCATTTGAATGTCTTGTTTGGGGAAACATCTTTTCAAGCCCTTTGCCCATTTTAAAATCTGGGTCATGTTTTATTGTTATTGACTTGTAGTTCTTAAAATATATTTTGAATAATAACCCTTTATCAGATAGATGACTTAGAAATATTTTCTCCCATTGTGTGGGCTGCCTTTTCAGTCTGTTGATTGCGTCCTTTGATGCCCAGGAGTGTTTAGTCCTCATGTAGTCCAGTGTATCTATTTTTTTACCTTCGTTACCTGTGCTTTTGGTGCCATGTCCGAGAAGGCATTGCCAAGTCCAGTGTCATGAAGTATTTATTGCTACTATTAAAAGTGCTGTGGTAGTCTTAATCCATGTTTTTGAACTTACTGATTAGTCCATTTTACCATTTGGTTTACCATCTGCCCTTTACCTCTTTGCCCGCTTACTGTATGAAATTCCTCACTGAGTTCTATAATGGTCGTAAATTCTTTGTTCCGTTCAGAAGGTAAGTGTGTTTGCCACTTAGGAGTGTCAGACGTACTCCTTTTTTCCCCCTTTTGTTGTTGGTACAAAAAGTATCTATCACACAAGGACTTTTAAAACATCCATCTACCAAGTCTAATAATAATTAATAAGTCTGTTCATTTTGCTTCTGATTACGTTTTCTTTAGTAGCTAAATGTCTGTGTACTCTTAGAGTTTCCTGAGTACTCTTCACCGTTTAAGGAGTTATGAATCCAATTTAGGGGTGAATCTAAATTGATGAGTTATACTCATAAAGTGGAAATGTCAAACTTTTACTGAATGAATTCTACTTTGCTCTGCTCCAGGTCAGTATTAGTGTCTTTCAATTAATTATCTGCCTGAATCTGTTTCTGGAATTTTTAGCCGCTAGTTTCTGTTGTTTCTAGTCAAATACAGCAAATTTTAAAGACCATCGCTGTTACTATGTTTGAAAACCTAGTGTGTGGAGGCTATGCTGCTCCTTTTAAGGCAAGAGTATTCTCTCCTTGTTGGGACTTGAGTACACAGAACTGGGTTAATCTTTGGTTTGTGACATGACCTGGCTCTCTTTTATTTGCTTCCTTGGTGTTTTTAATAATGTGGTAAGCATTTCTGAGACTTGTGTTCAGTGTAAAACCTAGGACGTTAGTAGCTTTTTCTACCTGGGTGGTCATCTTCTCCCCCTGCCCCCATCTCTAGGCCAACGTAATCGCCATCCCGAATACTGGATTTATCTTTACTTGCTTTCTTTTCATATAACTTAAAAAAAAAAAAAAAATCCACCTAAGTGTGTTTGTTAAGGAAGCTCCAGGCATTCACAGCCCCTCCAGGACAGCACAGCACAGCAGCTGTGCCATATGGGATTCTTCATCTTGTCAGGTGGGTTGAGAGTTTCTGCTGCCAAAGTAGAGTAACGTGCTGTGGAATTGAGTTAAAACTGATCGGTCTCTACAACTGCTTGTCGGTACCAGAAGTGAGCATCAGATAGTGTCTGACTTATTTAGACCTAGCAAGACTCTGAGTCTCCTTCTGGCGTTCTTTCTCCTACGCAGGCTGAAAAACAAACTATTCTAGGACAGCAGTTGTGACATCCGCCGAAAGTGGCTTTTAATTATATCTTATGTGTTTGGTCTTGTTGAAATCTTCTTACCTGGCATCTGTCTGTCAGCATCTCTAATCCCAAGTGGAAAAGGCGTGCATCCGGGTGGGACACAGTCTGCTCCCTCTGCTGCCTGTGGTTTCCCCTTTAAGTACGCGCTTCCCCTCAGAGGCCCCCCGAGGGCCAGGAGCACAGGTGTGAGCCCTGCTCTGTCTCTTACTCGACTAATAGGGTCATGGAGAGCTTCACGCTGGGAACCACAAGGCCCAGATCTATCCCCGGCAGCCTTATTCTTGCCCCCTTCGCTTCTGGGGTAAGTGGTAGCTGTCCCCTTGACTCCTCTGTCGATGTAACAGCTGTGGGACCAGCTGTCTGTGTGTCAGAGCGAGGCCCTGCCTCTGCCTCCTGCTGACCCCAAGGGCAGAAGCTCTGCCGGTTTTCTTCCAGTTTGTTTCAAGATATAAAAAATGTTCAGAGTGATATGTGCACATATAAAAAACTCAAACCCTGTAAAGGGGATGTAGTGACATCCTTCTCTAACCCCAGCCTCCCTTCCCACAGAGGCAGCAGTTGTGGCCAGTTGCTTGAATTTCTTTCTGGATAATCCTGTGTACCTATTTCACTACAGAGGCCCCGGCACACCACATCCAGTCTCGCACTTTGGACTGTTCAGTTAATGGTACATCTAGGAGCTCACCGCTTATCTTTTTTGGCCTACCTTGGGCTTTTCGAAACACATCTGTGTGGTAGTCACTGTTTAAATTTACCCATTTTCCCTTGTGAGGAGCAATTAGATTGTTTCTAGCAATTTTTACGGTGTATAAGGCTATACTGAGTATCTGCCTATGTGGTTGTTTGTGTATATGGGCAACTGTGCCTTTGGGGGAAGGTTTCTGGGTCATGGTCTGTGTGTCTTTCTGAACATGATGGGTACTGCCAGCCCATGCTCGCTGTAGTTCCGTTCGTCCGCTTGACATTTTCCCACACTTCACCAACACTGTTCTTAAACTTGGTTACTTGTCAATGTGAGAAGTAAAAATAGCATTTCATTGTAGTTTTGAGTTCTATTTCTATTGGGCTGTGTACTTACAGATTTTCAAGAGCTTTTTATATATCGAAGAAATTAACCCTTTGTCACTGATGCGGCAAATACTTGCCTGTTTGTCATTGATCTGGCTTTTGTGTTTCATGCTAGAATGTTGCTGTTCAGAGTTTTAAATATACTTATGTATCACTGTTTTCTTTTAGGGCTTCTGGGTTTTATGACTCAGGTTGTGAAGTGCCCCCCCAGCCCCTGCCCCATTCCAGACGCAGTGGTTCCCTGCAGCCCGGCCTTGGCCGTTTGGGGTTTTATCTTTGCTGAGTAGAAGGTAAACTCCAGTGTTGCCGTGGTTCAGTTTCCACTTTGTGATTCTGTAAAGCTGAGTGAACACTTTGTTGGCCGACGTGTGTGACTGCTTGTGCCTCAGTTATGTTTTCATCTCCTGAGAACTCTTCACTGGAGGACGTTTACCCTCGAATGATTACAAAACATTGTTTAAGTTTGTAGTTTGCCCTTTTTTTCTTTTTTTTTTAAGTTGATGCGCGATGCTGCCGCGTTGCTTTCAAGTTGTAATTTGCCTTTTAAATTTACTTGTTGCATCTTGCCAGTGGTTTTAAGTTTTGTTGTCAAGTCTGTTATTTTGATCGTGGTTTCATACTTTGATGTTCTGCTGTATTTCCCACTGGCTTCCTTGTGCTTTCATTTTTGACATTTGACATAACTCTTTAATCTGTCTAGGAGTCGTGTTGGTGTTTGTACAGTGTGAGGTAAGAATCCAATTAATTCAAGATGGCTGATTTCCCCAGCGCCGCTTCCTGGATGATGCCTTCTCTACTGATCTGAAACTTGTTAGTTATGTACTAAGTACCTTTAATGTAATTGAGTATGTTTCTGAACTTTCTAGTTTGTTCCGCCGATCTATCTTTCCTCCGCCAGTCCAGTGTTTTCATTATATTAGCTTTATCACATCTGATTGTAAAACGTGGTAATACAAGCCCCTGGCATTCTTTTTTAAGGTACTCTGATTTTTACTGGAATTGCATTATGTTTATCGATATGTTATGACGTTGAGACTTTCCATGTAGGAACAGGCCCCCCCTGTTCGTTTAGGATTGGATGATTTTCGTGTCCTCAGAAATTTTAGCCCTCTCTTAGGCAAGTTATGGACATTTATGAAGTTCGCTCCTAGATATGTTATATTCTGTGTTGTGGTTAGATATATTTTTCCATTAAAATTCCTGGTTGTGGTAGTATATGAGAAGACTTGTTTTATAGGTATACGTTATTTCGGACATAAATAGGCTGATTATTAAGGCCAATTGGAAGACAATATAGCATCCAGGCTAAAAGGGCTTTTGAGTCAGATGACTCTGCTCTCATGCTTGACTTGCCCCTTATTTATTTTCTGTGCTGCGAGCTCTCTGCCTCAGTTTCTCCATTTGTAAGAAGGGATAATCATATTATCTACTAAGAAGTGGGATGAGGGTTTAATGAAATAAAGAGGCATTGTGCTCAGTGCTCTGCTGACACGGAGTGAGCACTGTTCTACTGGAGTTTCAGAGTAAGAGTCATCTTTAATGGTTCTGTCATCCATGTGATTCATTCCGTTTTTCATGCTTCTCTCCTGTCTTGCTGGCATTGGCTGTAATCACTAATGAGCTGTGAGCATCGTGGTCTTGTTCCCACCCAATCCGCTGGGATCTGTCAGTGGGATCTGTCAGTGGATAGAGAGGGGTCAGGCTGGCCCTGGCAGGTGTGCACAAGCCCCAGCAGCACACATCAGGCTGCCCATTGGTTGTCATCCTGATGGTCCTCAGCTGGAGTGATCTGCTGACAGACCTCTTCAAATTTTAATATTCACGTATTTGTTTTATCATGTATTTGAAAGTTGCTGGTTTTCTATTTATGGTGGTAATACAACATTTCCTTTAAGAGGAATATATTTTTTCTCTTTTTAGTTGAAATGTCCCCCCACATACTATAAGATTCATGCTGTCAACGTGTACAATTCAGTGGGTTTTAGTATGTTCACCGTGTTTTGCCAACCATCACTGTCATCCCATTTCCAGGACTTTTTCATTTTCCCAAACAGAAGCCTGATCCCCATAAAACAGTAACTTCCCATCCCTCTCTCCCTCCCTCCTCCCGGTTCCCCCCACCCCGCTTTTTTTCCTGCATTTTCATTATTGTAACTGATCAAAGTCTGTTTGCAGTAGATGTGAATGTGAGTTAAGTACATGTGACATTGATTTGGCAGAGGCAACCTAGTGATTGGCAAGAACACAGCACGAGCAGCTTCTGCAGGTTGGTGTTCCTCCTCCTGGTTCCTGATAACCTTTACTATACTTTCTGTCTATTTGCCTATTCTAGGTTCCTCCTACGAAGGAAATCATACATTTGTCCTTTTGTGTCTGTCCTACTTCAGTTAGCACAGTGTTTGCAAGTTTCATTCACGTTGCAGCATGTAACAATACTTGATTCCTTTGTGAGGCCGAATACCCCTTGGTGTGGCTACACCACGTTTTGTTTATCCAGTCATTTGTTGGACATTTGGGTTGTTTCCACTCATTTGGCTATCATGAATAATACCTCTATGCACTTTTTATTGAATTTGTTTTAAATTGTCATTGGTGTGTGCCTCAGAGTGGAAGTGCTGGGTCAGATAACTCTGTGCTTAACTTTTTGAGGATCCGCAGAACTGTCTCCCAGTGTAGCTGCACCATTTTACATTCTCGCCATTAATTGATGAGGTTTCTGATTTCTCCACACCCTCAACCCTTGTTCTTATTTGGCTGTGTGTGTGCGTGTGTGTGTGTGTGTGTGTGTGTGTGTGTGTGGGGTTTTTATATAAGCTCTATGCCCAGTGTAGGATTTGAACTCCCAACCCGGGGTCGCATGCTCATCCACCCAAGCCAGCCAGGCACCCCTCTGGCTTTTTGATCATAGCCATCCTAATGGGTGTGACGTGGTATCTCCTGTGATTTTGATTTGCACTTCTCTCATGACTAACTGTGTCTAGCACCTTTCCATATGCTTGTTGGCCATGTGTAGATCTTCTCTAGAGAACTGTCTATACTGATCTTTTGTCCCCTTTTTAATTGAGTGTTTATCTTTTCATTATTGAATTTTAAGAGTTCTTTGTGTATTCTGGATACTAGAGACTTATCACGTTTTTCCCTTCTGGGGGTCGTGTTTCCACTTTGTTGATAGTGTTCTTTGACATAAAATAAATTTATATGTCGAAAGTAACTTGATTTAAGGGAAAAAAAAAAACTGGGACTGGTTATATGGCAAAAAATGTCCAGGTGTCATGTGAATGGTTAAGGTTTGGGGGCAGAGAAGAGTGTTCCGATCCTGTAGCGTGAAGTGGGTGAGCACTCCTTCCTGTGCAACGTCAGCAGGTTCTACCTGGTATGTGTGCCGGGGTCATCTCGTTGGAGTGCTTGGAAGGTTTGGTTTTGTTTTTTATGTCCAGTAATAGATAATGGATTTATTCAGATGTCTTTTCTGCATTTCCCCCCCCCCCCGCGGGGGGGCCCCCCAAGCATCGAGTTTTTCTCCTTTCATTTTCTCATGATTAATTGCATCACAGAATATCATGGCCTCCTGTGATTTCTGAAACACACCGATCCCAGGCCTGGAGCTCTATTCCGCCAACACAGAAATGAATCAGAAGGTCCACTTCAGCTTCAGGGAGTTGTCAGGCAGGCTCTCGTATCAGGACCTCAGGAAAGGCAGAGACGCTTTTAAGAGCAGCAGCAAAGAGCAGACCTCTGAGCTGGACAACTGACTTTCTGTTCCCTGCTTTGCCACTTAGCACGTGACGTTGGCCACATTTCTAAAATCCTTGAAGCCGGTTTCCTTAATAAAATGGGGACAAAAATAAAGTCAGAACATAACTCGTGGTTTGCGTGAGGCTGAGATGAGAGGTCACACGGCACAGGTGCTGGGAGTGAGGGGCCCTGCTGTTTCCGGTCCCTGTCAGCCTCCCCACTTGGCACAGTTGACTGGACACAGAGTGTTGGGTAACGCCGCCCGGGCTGCCACTTCCTTTTGGAGATTCCAAGTTCTTTGTGAACTTCCAGTGTCTTCCTGAGTTATAGGCTAGTCCGTATTTCTATTTCATTGTAAGTCAATTTGCTTGAATTCAGTTTTCTAAGAAAATTGCCTTTTTAAATACGTATTAGTGTAGAGCTTTTTTTTTTTTTTTTTTTGCATTTTAATATCCTTGTCAATGGTTTTTGGGGGTGGAAGGAAAAAAAATAGTTTTCACTTTTTATTCCTAGTTTATCTTTGACAGACTTTCGAGAAATCTATTTTACTGTTTTTTTTCAAAGAAGCAGCTTTAGATAGAATACCCAGTTCTGCTTTCGTGTTGTAATTTATTAATTTCTGCTTTTACGTCATTAATTCCTGTGCTCTCCTTGGATGTTGTTTGTCCCTCTTTTTCCAGTCTTGCCTTACATGCTTAGTGCGGAAGGCGGGGGAGGCAGAGCGCGGTCAGGGAGGCTGTGGCAGGAGGCGCTCCTGCTCTAGCCCCACCGTGACCATGGACAGAGCCCTCCAAAGCCGACGCGTGGACCCTCCGTAAGGGAGGCAACTGCTGCCCCCTCCCCGCCCCCGCCACCCCCGCCGCCAGAGGATGCGTGGAGGCCAGTTAGTGGCCAGGGCCCAGCGGGAGCACGGGGGGCGTTCTGCAGGGGGGAACGGCCAACTGCTGTTGCTCCGGCCCACAGTTCGGTTTCTAACGATCACTCCAACCAACAGCCTCCTCGGTGTCCAGATACTCAGCTGGTCTCCACAGACACAGGCAGGTGAGATGAATGGCCCTGCCTTCCCGTGGTGCCCCTGTTCTCCCGGGGGACCGGTCTCCGATGGTGACTAGATAGATGGTGAGTTAACACAGTGCGGCAACAGCCACCGGGGATGGAGTGCAGCCTGAGGGTGAAGACAGAGCCTTAACCCAGGGGAGACCTTTGAGCTGTCACTTGACAGGTAGGTGAGGCTGTAAGGAAGAGCATTCCCGGCTGAGAAAAGGGTGCGAGAAAAGCCTCTGAGCTGTGAAGGAAACTGGCTGGAGCTAGGAGTGCAGGTGGGGCTGGCCGGGCCACGGTGGGGACTCAGGAGGTGCCCCATGGTGCACCTGAAGGCTCCCCGTCTGTATTTGGGAAAAGAGTTTATTGTCCTCATTTCCTATTTGCTTTTTGGTTTCAGTTCTGATGTATCATTTGAACATAGTTATTTAAAGAGTACGCTTTAAATTTTCCGAGGTTTTGGAAGGGTTGTGTTTTGTTTTTTTTTTAACTATTATAATCAATTTCTATTTTAATGAATGGTTACCTGAGGAAGTGCCCAGTACAATTTCTACCTTTTGGATCTGTGGCTCGCTTTCTTCACTGCTTAAGGTATGATTATTTTTATCAATGCTCCATGGCGTTTGAGAAAGTATTCTTTGTCACATTCCATACGTTGGGTCCGTCCCTCTCGACGGTTTGGGGTCCAGTCCAAAGCCGCGACGTCCCTATGTAATGCGAAGTGTGATTCCATTTTCCCCACCACTCGTGGTTCTCTCCACCGCCCCCAAGACTGCTCACCAGTTTTGTTCTGTGTGTTTCGCTGCAGTGTATTTGGTGCGTGGAGTCCGGCCCTGCCGCGTGGAGTGCCGGGTGCCGACCGGGCAGACGGGAGCCCACCCCCTCCCCGCCCCCACCTCACTGTCTCCTCCTTTGCGGGTTGAATGAAGTACCTGTGTGTTGGAATTTTCAACTGTTGAACCTTGAAACCATTTTTCCATCTCTCGTCTGTTTCCTGCCCGTGTCGTGCCTTCGTGGTACATATAGTTGTGATCGGGAGCCATTTTGCTTCTTCCACTTCAGGTTGTAGACACAGTGTCTGCACTGTCACTTGTAGACACAGTGACTCGTGTTGAAATAATCCACCTGTTCTGGCTGAGGCTCTCTGGGGGGTTCCAGGCTGTGAGCCTGCCACTGTCACCTCGTGGGCTTCTGCGTGGGCTGGTTCCAGCATTTTGTAATCCTGAATTACACGGGCACAGGCGTCTTTGGGCAAATCCCCTTTTATACCTCCAGGCTGCTCTTGGTTGTCCCCCTGGCCGGAGGCAAGGGGCTTCTTCTCTCCGCTCACTGCCCTGGGTGCAGATGTTTGGAAAGGGCCGGTTATACACTCCTGTTTTGCCCACTGCCTTGCCAACACAATTTTTCCTGTTTTTGACTGTGAGTGTGGAGTGCTTCCTTGAAGCCATTTTATTTTATTTATTTATTTTTTTTTTCCCTTGAAGCCATTTTAATTTTCACTGGGGACACGTTTCCCTATGTAGGTCACTCTCTGAGTTTCCTTAAGCAGACACCTTGAGGGTCTTGTCACTAACATGTTGAATTAATTCTTTGCTCATCTTACAGACTGTGTTTTGACTCCCCCCCCCCCCCCATTTCTAAGGCCTTTTAAGGTCAGAGCTTTGTTCCTCCGTCAGGTTGGGACTTAGATGGCTATGCACGGTTCCTCTGTCCTGCTGCAGTAAGTAAGTGCCTGTGGTGTGTTTGGGGGATGAAGCCTGGAGAGAGGCCAGGAGGGGCGATGGGCAAGCGAGGAGGTAGGGGAGAGGTGAGGGAGATGGGTGAGGGGGATGGAAACCTGGCTCTGAGCTCACCCAGTGGTCCCCAGACCTTGGTGTGTGTGTGTGTGTGTGTGTGTGTGTGTGTGTGAGAGAGAGAGAGAGAGAGAGAGAGACGAGACTGGCTGTGCTTGCAGAGCATCCATCAGGACTAGTAGAGAGGACCCGTTGTCAGCCTGGCCTGGTGTGACCCTGAACAGGTCTCAGTCCTCTCCGAGCCTCACCTTCTCCTCTGGACTCCGCTGGAGAAGGGCTACTGGGCTCCTCAGGGCTGGCTGGAGGGGTCCAGGAGTCCTCCCCTCGTGAGAGGCCAGGACAGGACTCCTGGATGAGGACTGCAGAGCTTGGGGGTGCTCCCACTGGACCCGCCGTGGGCCCACAGGAGGCAGAGCCCAGCCTGGGAGCAGCAGGTGCTTGGGGCCCAGATGGGGAGGGTGGCCCAGGGCAGGTAAACTGGCCCAGGGTCCAGGGTAGGCTTCCTGTTCCTCCTGTCTCTGGGGCCCTGGTGACTCAGACCGTCCTCTCGGGGAACTCAGACACGGGGCCAGAGGCTGGTGGGGACACTGTGCTTCTGACTCCGTTTTCAAGCAGTGGCAGCTTCGCAGGAAGGACCCCACAGCCGGCACTGGTGGAGAGAGCGAGGACGGAAGGCCAGGCAGGTGGGCTAGACTGTGTGGCCCCACACAGCAGGGGCCCAGCAGATGCGGAGGACCACTGGCATTTGAGCTAGGCTGGGGTGCTTGAAATTTCCTCTAGTTCTTAGATTTCCTGTTCTGGATGAAAAACTTGAAAGTTTTGCCTTTAATTATAAAAGTCATCTGCATAGAGTTAAAAATTCAAGTCATAGAAAAAGGTATAAAATGAAAGTAAAATCCTTCTCCCCTCACTCATCCCAGCCCTACTGCAGAGAGGTGGCCTCTCCCATTTCTTAGGATCTTTTTGGAAATTTCCATCTACATACGAAGACATTGCCCTACAGTGAGCAGGACCATAACTTGTGGTTCAGTTTTCCGTCAGACTTTGTGAGCTCCTGCAGTTAGGATGTGCATCCAGCACAACAGGAAACATGTGGCCACGCGGCCAAGGGGACACGCGTCCCCCTGGCTGTACCTTTGACAGGGCTGTCAGGGCAGCGAGGGGGAGCCTGGGAGGGAGGGGGGCCCGGAGCCGCCGCAGGTGTTTCTTTTACTGGACGCGGCCCATGGCCGCGTTCAGGTTTTGCTTTTCACCTTTGAGTCTGTGAGAAAACAAGCAGGAAAAAGCAAAAGGCGCTGGTGGTGGCACGCCCGGTGCTGCTGGGCCAGGGTTCGAGTCCCTGTGGCGTCTCTGCTTCCTTCCTGCTCCCCATTCCGGGCCCTTCCCCTCCGTGGTCCTGAGGAGAGATGTTGGGCTGAAGCACCCAGGGCCTCCCCCAGGAATGCTCCCCTCCATGGTCTCCTCCATCGCCCCCTTGGAGGACCTGGGGCTGGGCTCTCAAGGGCTCTCCCCCTCCCTTGGGCTGTAGGTAGATGAACTAGCCCCATCCGAACCAATCCTTCGAGAAGAAGAGAGCTTGGGAGCTGTGAACCCCAAGGCCGACGGTGTGTGTGCTCCCTGCCTGGTCTCCTCCATCTGAGGCTCCCAGGACCAACTCACCACCGCCCTCCACCTCCAAGGACCAGGATGGCTCTTCTGGGAAGGCTGAGGGGGTGAGGAGTTCTGGGCTGGCAGGTCAGGGTGTTGGGTGGCCCTGGGGGAGAAGAAGGCAGGGCCAAGGCACACACAGGCCCTGGGGCAGGAAATGGGGTGGGAGGGGCCAGAATGGGCACCGAGGGATCTGAGACTGCACTCTCCAGGCTCCTGGGACCTGGATGGATCCCAGGAGACACCCCTCCCCCCACCACCCCGCCTCCTGCCTGGGACCCAACAGGGACAGTGTGCTGTGATCCTGAGCAAGCTCCACGCAAGCCCCAGCAGCGGCTGCCTCTGCCTCTCTCCCAGCTTTGTCAGCCTCCCCATCCCTTCCCCGCATCCCAGAAAGAGGTCAGAGGATCACAATCCATTTCACTGGCCACAGTGCTGATGGCTGCCTTGTCTCCAGCCCAGCCCATGGTCACGCCATCAGTGCAGAGCCCGATTTGGGGCTCGATCCCCTGAACCTTGAGATCATGACCTGAGTCAAGATCAAGAGTCCGGCGCTCAACCAACTGAGCCAGCCAGGCACCCAGAGAGAACCTCTTTTTTTTTTTTTTTTTTAAACGTTTATTTATTTTTGAGACAGAGAGACAGAGCATGAATGGGGGAGGGTCAGAGAGAGGGAGACACAGAATCTGAAACAGGCTCCAGGCTCTGAGCTGTCAGCACAGAGCCCGACGCGGGGCTCGAACTCACGGACCGTGAGATCATGACCTGAGCCGAAGTCGGCCGCTTAACCGACTGAGCCACCCAGGCGCCCCGAGAGAACCTCTTTTAAGGGACTTCCGGGAAGCCCGGCTGGCTCAGTCAGCGGAGCATGTGACTCTTGATCTAAGGGCCATGAGTTCTAGCCCCATGTTGGGGGTAGAGTTTAGTTAATAAAAAAAAATAATAATAATAAGGGACCTTGGCTTGGGCCCTCCTAAAGGAGACTGATGGCCGCTTTGTCATCGTCTGCAATCCCTCAACCTCCTAGCAAATTTTGGTGACAGAAAATTGCCCTGTGGATCTGGTGTTTCTGGCTGAGGTGGTGAGAGGAGGCAGCAGGAAGCTGTGGTCTTGGCGGGTGGCCTGTGTCCACCCTTAGCAGCCAGGCCTGGCACTAAGGTCACAATGTCCACCAAGGTGCCTGTCTCTCTGAAGTGCGGCCACCACATGAGTCAGAAGAAGCCTTGGGACCTTTAGTCCTTGGACGTGATCAACCAGCTGCTAGGGGCTGACAGGCTTATTATGCTCGCGCATAAGCAAAGGCGGGGAGGCCGGGAAGCAACGACAGAGAGGAGCCAACATGTCTCAAAGAGCATGGACCTGAGTGTGACCTAGCCTGTTTGAGACTCAGTTTCTCCATCTCTAAAACTGAGTCAATTGTACCTACCTTGCAGGGTTGTGGGGAAAACTAGGAATAACATTTATGAATTGCCACATGGAAGGTATTCAAAAATGGCTACGGACATAAAGGAACTCTGAGCTTGGGAACGAGACGACTGTAAAGCAGGAAAAGCAGGTTGGAATCAGCTGGGAACAGCTTTGCCTGCAAGGCTGAGCGGAGGCAGTGGGGAGCTGCAGATGAATTTTAAGCAGAAGAGACACGTGATCAGATCCAGGTTCTAGAAGGGTCACCACCCAGGCCAATGAAAGACGGACCAAAGGTCAAAGCGGAGGAAGCCAGTGCAGATGAGGAAGACTGGACGAGGCAGGGACAGTCAGGACGGAGGTGGGGAGAGTGTTAAGATGGGGCTTGGTGTCTGACTGGTACAGACCACGTGGGCAGCTGGAGGCAAGTTCAAGCCTCAGTTTCCCCTTCTTCCATTCTCCGCTGGTTCTTCATCCTTCTGACCCTGTGGATCCTAGACTCTCCCCTCACCCCCATCCTCTCCTGCCTCCAGGTCCTGTGTCAGATTTCATCGCGGAGGCTGAATTTGACCAGGAGGCATTTTGCTTGGCTTTGTGGCCTTTTTTAAATGTTTAAAAAATTTTTATTGAGGACACACACACGCACGATGTGAAACCTGCCATTTAACCGGTTTTAAGTCTTTAATTCGATGGCATTAATTACATTCACAACGTTGTGCAACCATCACCACTGTTTCCAAATCTCTTTCATAGCCCCTGACGAGCCACATCCATTAGTTACTCCCATATCCCCTCCCCCACAGCCCCTGGTGACCTCTACCCTACTTTCTGTTTCTATGAATCTGCCAATTCTAGATATTTCATATAAATAGAATCTAAAATAATTGTCCCATGAAACTAAGGCAACACTGTATGTTAACTATACTGGAGTTAAATTTTTATATTCTTTTTTTTTTTTAAGGCAGGAGAGTTTTGGGGGTTTTTTAAATGTTTATTTATTTTTGAGAGAGAGAGAGAGAGAGAGAGCATGGGCAGGACAGGGGCAGAGAGAGGGGAACAGAGGATCCAAAGCAGGCTGTGCACTGACAGCAGCAAGCCCGATGTGGGGCTTGAACTCTGGAACTGCGGGGCGCCTGGGTGGCGCAGTCGGTTAAGCGTCCGACTTCAGCCAGGTCACGATCTCGCGGTCCGTGAGTTCGAGCCCCGCGTCGGGCTCTGGGCTGATGGCTCAGAGCCTGGAGCCTGTTTCCGATTCTGTGTCTCCCTCTCTCTCTGCCTCTCCCCCGTTCATGCTCTGTCTCTGTCCCAAAAATAAATAAACGTTGAAAAAAAAAAGAATTGAACTCTGGGACTGCAAGATCATAATCTGAGCCTAAGTCAGACACTCAAGTGACTGAGCCACGCAGGTGCCCCTGGAGTTAAAAATTTTTTTAAAGAAAAAAAAAAACAAACCCTTATATATATTTTTAAAATATCTTATTTATTTTCAAGAGGTAGGGGAGGGGCACAGAGGAAGGGGGACAGAGCATCCGAAGCAGGCCCTGCGCTGACACCTGCCTGCTGCCGGGCTAGAACTCACAAACTGTGAGATCATGATCTGAACCGAAGTTGGACGCTCAGTCGACCGAGCCACCCACGTGCCCCCCCCCCCCAAAGACCTTTAAATCTTAATGAAAGAAAGAAAAAATAATGTAACTTCTTCTTTTCATTAATAAAAGTAAATAATAAATAAAATAAAATAATTGTCCTTTGGGGTCTGACTTCCTCCACTTGGCGTGTTTTCAGGGCTCATCGATGCTGTAGCACGTGTCGATGCTTCTTTCTTTTTTTATGTCCAAATAACCCTGTAGGCAGGGGGTGGGGAGCTGAAGGGCCAGCACCTTCTTGCCTGCAAGGTCCCCCTTCGGCGCTTGGGTGGCTTGTCCCTTCTACCTTGGGAGAGGAAGACAAGAAAAAAGGACACCCTCCTTAGAGCTTCACCCAGCTGGAAGGCCACACTTGACCTGGACCTGAGTTGAGGCCAGAGTAGCCAGGGAAGGGGGATGTGCTTTCCCCGGGTCCCCTGGAATTGTGCCCCCCATCCTCCCTGCATCACGCACCAGCCCAAAGGCCCTGGGAGGCCACTCCTGGTGGCTGTACTGGGCTGGAGAAACGGAATCTGAAGGGACTAGGAGGCGGCTCCCACGTGGGGGCGGGGCGGGGGCGGCGGGACTGTCCTTCATGCCCATCCCTGGGTCAGTTCTGCTCAGCCTAGCACGAGGCAGGGGCTCAGCGGCACTTAACAGGAGTGAGATCGCAAGGACGAAGTGGCCTACGAAGGAGACGTCTGAGGCTCACCCCCTCCCGGCACCATGCCCATTTCCAGAGCCTAAATTTGCCTCCTGCTTGAGTTGTGTCAGGATAGGAACCACGCGGGGGCCATCAGCCGTGCCATCCCTTGCTTGGCGACTCCTGGTGGGTCTTCCCTCCTTGAAGGTACGTAGCTGTTCTGGCCCTGTCTTCCCTCCTCCACTGCTGGCAACCTCTGCAAGCTCCCATGCCTCCCCCTTTCAGGGCAGGGACTGGTGCCAAGGATTCCAGCCACTGTGCTTCCTGCCTCACAGTGCCAGCACCTCTCCCCAGCTCTGAGGCCCTGCTTCTTCCACCACCTCAAGAGCTTGTCTGTAATGCAGGGAACACTGTCACGCAGGCTGCTTGGCCAAACGTCAGAAGCCCTTCTCTAGGAGCCAAGATGTAGCTGCCCTTGGTCAGCATGATCCTCCATCACCTGGCTGGTCTAGGCAATGGGCATCAAACCCGGTACCACCGGAGGGAAACTCTCCATGTCCAGAAGGAAGGAGGTCAGTCAGTCCCAGCCGGGTGCCTCATCCCTCTATAGGACAGAGAGAGCAGTTCAGCCTTCTGGGCTCCCACCCCCTTAGCCCTGAAAAGGCAAGAGACCAGAAGTCTGACCCAGCTACCCACTGACTAGAAGTCTCCCCTCTTCTCATCTGGAGGTTGCTGTGGGTAGTGCTCGTACACAAGGTAGGTGATGTTGTGCGTCGGGAAACACCTTACAGAGTAGGGCGGGTTGGGTGAGGTGGGGGGAGGGGGGGGAGTTGCAAAGAATACGGATGATAAGCCAGTTCTCCCTAGGCTTCATCTCCCCAAAGCTGAGCACCTGTTTTCTCAGCGTCTACAGACGGACAGCACCAAATGGCCAAGCCACCTCCAGACTCCAGGTCAAGAGCCTCCCTTTCC